TCAGAGCAAGCTGTTTTGGTGCGGTCTCTTTAAATACAAGTGAGATATTTCACACCCCGCCTCCTCCAGGTCGCTGAGCGTTCGACTCCACCCCGTTCGGCCATATTTGTAGTTTCATAGCAAAAACACAAGTTATCTACTGACTAAAAACTGTTTTTAAGATAAAATAAAATAAGATAAAACTTTATTGATCCCACAGTCTGGAAATTTGCACATTACTGCAGCTTAATACAAGAGAGGCTGAGAAGAATAATGAAAGATTAATAAAAAGTAACAAACAAAACCCCACAATATACACATGTGATATATAGTAATGTACCAATGCACATATACATAAACGCGTATGCTTATTTATATACATACAGTATATGCACCGTAAAGTACAGTACAAAAATGAATGTATATGAAGGTGCATATTAGTAATGGCAGATGGCAATGCGAATTGCATATTCGGCATGACGCTATGAACTACAAAATCACACAGCGAGGAAAAAAATGGCGGACTATGAAATCCAGTTGGCCGGAAATACATTACCATAAATGGTAATTCTGAAGAAAATAGTGTGACGAAATAAGCAATGAAATGAAATAATTAACAGCAGATTTTGAACAAACTGAAAAATTTGACCCATAAAAAAATCTAAAAATATCTTTGCAGTAACTGGACAGAATAAATTAAAGTTTTCYACACTCCTAGACGCTATAATTGCACGAAAAAGTTTATAAATGCAAAAAAAGTGCATTTAGCATGATATGTCTCCTTTAACAGATGAAAAAGGAGTCAAACAGCAGACGTTGCRTCGCAAAAAATAAAAGCACGTATTGCTTCATCTGCAGGCTGCAGCTCAACCGAGGAGACGAGTAACGGCGTCTCTACCATTATTAAAAGCTGACACGGGTCCGTCCTGAGCGCACAGAGGAGCTTTGTTTACGTTTGTATCATGGAAGTAGAGCCGACAGTTTACAACACTGCGCATGTAAACACTTTTCATGATCGGATTGTGTCCATGTAAACAGTACATTTGGATTATTTAATCCGAATGCATTTCAATCCGATTAAGAAATTTTGTGCATGTAAACATAGCTAGTAACAGGAAGTGATGATAAAAGGGAAGGCCTGCATGTAAACAACATTGCCACAATGGTTAATAACACAGTCAGTAGGGAAGTATTTGATGTTTCTTTACATAATTTTAGGTTGCTATCAGAGAAGGATAAAGAAGACTTGGTCCATAAAATGCTATTTCAATAAACAAACACCAGGTTCCCCTTTTAAAAGAGATTCCCTTTGTTTTCACTTCATGTTCATTTTGGCTATGCCAAGTTCCAAACAAATAAGCCAGTTAGATGACAAAATGAGTAAAATCATGTGTTTTATTCCATATGTCTTTAAAATTTAATATTAAAATGTTTTTATTCCACTTTTTGTATTTGTAGGACAAGCAAGCTGACAAAGGCACTTTAAAGTAGCTTGATTAACAAGTTGGTAACAACCATGATTGACTTTCCTAGGAGGAACTGCAAAGGGAATCCCAACTGCCTTGTGGGTATTGGTGAACAGGCATGGCTTGGACAGATTGATGAGAACACTTTCCATAACATTGATGACCCAAATTCAGAACGCAGAGACAAGGTATGTCTTTTATCAGCTACACAAACTATAAATTGTTTATTCATTTGTGGGTTGTTTTTTTTTACATTTTTCACAGTTGCTAGACCTTTGACAGATATTTAATGTCTTCATTGTCATTCATTGTCCAGAACACATTTGTTGGCCTGACCAACCTTGGTGCAACATGTTATGTCAACACATTCCTGCAAGTATGGTTCCATAACCTGGAGCTTCGAAGGAGCCTCTATCTGTGCCACAATTCCCGAGCACAGGAACACAGCACTGAATCAGGTATGAATAAAAATGAAAATAAGAAGTGAGTTTTGCTGGTTCTTATTCTCAGATTTTTTTTCTTCTTCAGCAGTTGCAGTCCAGTGAGACATTACCTTTCTTTTCCAAATTTGAAAAGGAAATTAAACTAGAYACWGCATAGCGGTAACATAATGACCTCCACACGCACAAATGCACCAGAACTCAGAAGTCTTTATTCCTAATAAATGTCATGCTACTAGGTGCATCCCAAAATTGTAGTGGTTATGTTTAATAGTTTCTGAGCTATAACCATTTTTGCATGTCCAGATAACCCCACTTTGAAAGGAGCCCCCTCCTCAAATATGGGGTATATCGTAAAACCGTTGGCTGGCGCAGTGTAGGTCAGACTCATCTACAGTGCTGCCAAATTTCATGTTGATTGGTGCAGCCGTTTTTGTGCTACGGTTGACCAAAAATCACTGGGAAGAAAAAGGAAAAACAGTACGAAAACAATATTGACTCCCGCTTACGCTTCGCATGCCGGGGGGTCATAATAAAAATATTTTTGTTGTAGGCTTTAGCCCAGTGGTAGAAAGGTACTTTTCCAGTTGGTGAATTGGGAGTTCAGTYTCTAGCGCTGCATCACATTGAAATGTGCAAAACATTATTGAAATGGGCAAAACACTAAATCCCCAATGCCCTGAAATGCTTTTTGGTGATCAAATGAAAAGATAAAAACGCTGTACACAGAGTATAAAATATAATAGAAAAGCATTGTATTAGGGTGTGCTATATAGAATCATTTACCATTTTAGAATACAACAGATAGTGTTTTACATTAGGCAGACTATGGTACTGGAATACTGCACTCAWCAGTTTAAATAYGTTTWTTCTGAAGTAAAAAGGCAAGTGGGTCACATATAGTGCTTTTCTAGTCTTGCTGYCCACTCAAAGTGCTTCTACACTACAAGTCACATTCATCCATTTCCTTACAGTTATCCTGAGATCAGGGCCAGCCTGGGGTTCAATGTCTTGCCCAAGGACACTTGGGCATTTAGCAGGGGATGCTGGGATTAATCTGAAAACTCTAATTGACAGATGACCCCTCTTCCTTCTGTAACACCCTTCTTTCTTAGAAATTTATTTTTTTAAAGTGGGGGGTTGATTTAATGTTGTCTAATTCTTTGCTTGGCTTCTTTGAAGTTGTGGCACCAAAATCAACATTTTCACCCCCTTTACACAACACACAGACCCCACTAGGGTTTAAAGAATTCAGGCAGAATGTGGACTGTCTTTGCAGTGTTTTAGGGAGGTCTTCAGGCACATTATAGGCTCTTTCATAAAACACAGCATTCTTTAAGGTGTGGAGCAGAACTCAGCTTTATTGACATGAAGCGCGACGCATTAAATGTGTGATGGATGTCTTTCTTAATTACGATTTTAAAACATTATGAATAGGGAAAATACTAAAACTCGGCATTTTTTTCAGCACCAGTTCCATGTGATTAATTTTAACCGTCATCGAAATGCTCCAGCCTTAATGTTGATGATATCAGAATAGTGGCATGACAACCGCGACCACGGCGCCTGTTGCATTGTTTTTMTGTCTTTCTTGCCTCTCAGTAATGTGTTTCCCATCAACTTCTTTATGTGCATTTTGAAGTATCACATTAGAAAAGGTGGATGGAAAGCACAAAATTTGCAGAAACTTCCTCAGTTTTGCAAAAATGTTTTTTTACACTCACTTGAGGTAGCTTTTGGATTTTTAGAAAAAGAGCTAATGTGCTAAAAAGAAGACGGAAACACATTTGCTAAATAAGTTCTGATGTAGAAAACTTTTACCTCACATGATTGATCAGCTGTTCCTGCCATCCAGTACCGGGTTCTCCCGCTGTTGCCGTCTTCCTGAATATGTCTTGGCGTCTTCCCGAATATGTCTCCAGACATCATGTAATGCCCCTTTTCTCAGAGATTCAACAAGATTCGCACAAAACAAATGATAGACTGGATGAAGCTGAAGGTCAGAATGAAGAGGTAGAAATGACTGTGCAGGCGGTGTCATCACTTATTAATCAACTTTTGCAGCGCCAGGACAATACGAAGGCTAAACTAGGGACTGGCATTATAGATARGCCTAGGCCATAAATRTTTTAGTGTATGGTATTGTTAATACTTGATACTTGTTCTTATACAAATGAACAAYAAATTAAATTAAATGAAAACTTGTCGACCAGGAAGGATGTGTATGACAAGAAAATTTAAGGATTTACAGCATTCCTGAAAAAGCTGAAGATAACATTAAAGGTATCATAGAAAAGCTGCTTTTGAATTGTTTGGATTTCTCACAGGATGTAATGCAAAGATAAAAATAGAAAGAGCCCACAGGCCCTGCCATCATGCACCGACATGCAATCATTGTCAGGTTTGTGAGTTACAAAGTTAAAGAAGAAGTTATTTGCAAAGCATGGCAGGAAAAACAAATACATTAGGCGCTTTTCCATTGGTCAGTGCAGCTCCACTTGGTTCCCATCTGATCAGGTCATCTTGGGAGTGGGTGATCTGCCAGTGTGACTTGTGTCCCCRCTCTGTGGGCGTCGTCGTCAATGCAAAGTAGGCAATAACGTCTTTTTAAAGTGACAGCAAGTCAAATTCCCATGTTTTTATTGTTCACTCAAGACATTTGGGATTAAGATCCAAAGATGAGTATGAGACAAGAGTTCTGAATGTCAGCTTTTATTTCCTGGTGTTTACATGTAGATGTGTTAAAGTGTTAGAGTTTTTGGCCATTTGACTGACTTTATAAATGTCTGCTTTCTGATACAACAGTCGACTTATGGAAGTGAGTAGGTTTTTTTGTTTGTTTGTAACAGGGGTCTGCAACCTGCGGCTCTGGGGTCACATGTGGCTGTTTGGTCCCTCTGCAGTGGGTTTTTGAAAATGTGACCAAACAGAACAGAATATATATATTTTTTGTTTTTATATCCACAACAGAAATTAATTTGTATGCAAATATGTGATCAATACTAATACAAAAAGTAAAACATGTTAGCTCATGCTAGCCTG